CACGTGATGCCTAGCCTCCTTGGCCAATAGACAAAGTCAGGAGGTGAGTCAGGTTAAACTTGGCTCAAGTTAAACTTTTATAGAAAATGTTGGGATTCGCGTAGAACTTTAGCTGCCTGCATCTCCGGACCTGATGGTGGTTTTGGTATGCATGTTTTCATAAATGTGACCTCTTCCATGTATTTTCAGTTTGAATTGCCTTTTTGATAAGTTAACTTTATAATTCACTATTTATAAATCAACTTGGCAAACACAACAGGCTTCTATTGCTTTGTTCTTTGAGTCTAAGTGAGTTGCAAGACTTTAGAAAACAGCGTTCTTGGGAATTATTTGAAAATGTTGGCAGCTATGCAGGATATGTATTGTAGCACTAATGTGAGTGATCCCAACATCCAATATCTGTCTAAAACTACAATTTCCAACGTGACCTGAGAGTCATGTCACTGAATACAAAGTTGGCATTTGTTTTTTCTTGTCACTTGCCATTGAGAAATTGGGACAAAGGTTTCCAGCCGCTGGCAGCGTCTTTATTTGGCTGCTTTGGGGCCAGAAATTCCCCCATCGGGTCGTGTGAAACTGGGTGACGGAGCTGAATAACGAATGGGGGACAACAATGGGACAAACCAAACTGACCTTCTAAGAGGGGGCAGATTTTCCTCCAGGCGGTGACGCCTCCCTGGCTGGTGTATTGGCCCAATGCCGTCTCCAACAAGAAGACCGGAATGCCGCAGGTGAAGAGGAAGATGAGATAAGGGATGAAGAAGGCTCCTGAGAAAACAGAATTAATTAACAGATAAATAACATCAAATTAAAAATGTGACAGGCTCCATATAAAATACAATGGACCTCATTTACTGAGATTGCTGAAAGGGTTGGGTGATGCAGCAGGGACAACATTTGCCAAAATTGACACCGATCCACATGAGCGTGTGTGATTCGAGAGCAGAAGCCACTAGATGCATGCTATTACCTTCACTGTGTGCCTCTCTGATTTAGTTTCACCTTGTTTCTGGAGCACAACTTCCCTGACTTCAGGGCTAAGTCTTGTCAAGGACCACCCTACTGCCCAGGAAGAGCCTTTCAGGGGCCATTAAAGGAGCTCTCAATGAATACAGCAATTGGCTGCTGGCAGGGTTTGACCCCAAAGTTAGGTTTTATCAAACAAAGTGAAACTAAATCAAAGCAACGCAGAGGAGACACTTCTGGCCAATAAATGTAATAGGCATCTGATTAAAGCGGCAAATTTAAAGTATTAAAAGTAAATTTTGAACTTATATTAATATGTCAGCGCTGATATGAGATTTTAGTGATTGGGTGTACTTTTGTTTCCAGGGTAAAATCATGTGAGCAGCAGTCACCACAAAGAGAACAACTTTATCTGACATAGTTTGCAAGTCACAACAAGCAAGAAATGTCACAACAAGCAAGAAGACAATAAAAATACTTGAGAGAAATGGTGAATAAGTAAATCTGTCTATAGATAGAATACAATGTTTGTCCAGAGATGGTTAGATTGGGGCATGGTCACCACTCCAGGTTGGCTCAGATATGCCCACTGCAGTTCTCATTTGCGCTGAGTGGCCAAATTGACAGATTCTTCTGAAACCTGTAAAAACACGGGAAGTACACAGAAACCATGCCGATAACCATTCTAGTGGGCACCGAATACAAGACCCCAGCAATATAATTCATCACAACTAACCAAAAAGCAATTGTAAAGCCTCCATCTCCGCACCTTGTCTAGAAAACTGTAATCAAATGGTTCTCGCAAACTACAGATTGCTTTGATGATTGGTAATGAGGATGTAATTAGCAGAGGGACAAAGAGGATTGGAGGAAACATCCATTCTCCCATATTTTATTACATTAGATCTGTCAGCTAATATTTACCAAGAAAACTATACAAGCTGCAAAATAAATTATACTAAAGTTCAGTAAACATGTCAGGTTGGGAGCATCCACCTCCCAACTTTCTGAAATGGTAAGAAGGATACTTCTTGGTGGTAATATTTAGCAGGCCGTACACTAAACAAATTTTGTTTGTTTGTTCTGCTAAATCGGCCAAAATGTAATCTGTGGGTGGCCCTGCCGGCACCATGCAGCTCGACCAAAGGCCATTTTTTGGATGGGTGAAAAATTGCTGCAGTCACTTGTAACGGGGTCTTTTTAATAGCCTTGTCCCCAGGTAGCTAGGGGTTCCTTTCTGTCCATCACCCTAGCTTAGTGGGGGTACACAAACAAGCTGTGGGAAAAGTTAAGGGAGAAGAGAGCTAGAAAGGAGAGGTCTGTTTTTGTGAAGGATGAAGATCTCTCTGACCATGATGTAGTAGCATGGTGTAACGTTTTCCCTAAAGAGGGATGCATTGAACTGGCCATGAATGAAAAAGAGGGAAAGAGTCATTCCTTTGCCTGTCAAAAGTATAGACTAGACTAGACCCTGTGAGTAGAATGGTGAGTAGAGGTTTGCGCCTCTCCTTCTGGTGCTAATGTGAAACCCCTTGTAGAGGACAGACGAAAGGTGGCCATACACTAGTAGATTTTCGAAAAAGAACTTTTGATCGACTTTCTATTAGTTGAGGGGGTCAAATTGATCATCAATTTCGCCCATAGTGATGAAATAAGTCGAAGGAGCAGGAGGGAAAATTTCTCGGAGGAACGTCACTCTAGCAGTGAATGTGGTTTTCCCCCAGGAAACACTAGTCATTCAAAAATGTAATGTTAAAATGAAACAAAATTTCATTCGACATTCGTCAAGTCTCTGATGGCATTATTGGGTGAGACAGATCTTTCAATGGCAAAGGAAGAGTTCTGAAATCTACTGGAGTATGGCCAGCTTAAGTGGAGAATGTTCTGTTCTGTCTTATGGAAAGCATAGTGCTCTGCACTGTAAAGATGTTATACCATATATCTGAAGATGTAAATAATTTGCAAATGGCAAGTAAAGGTTTGTTTTATGCAATTAAGTAAGCCAGACTGGTCTCTTCTGGAAGATAACAGTGTTTCCAATACCTGGGAAGCAGAGACATTACTCTGCGGAGTCGATGTCTGAAAAGGAGCAGCTTTCCTGCTTTAGCTGTTTTACTTTGGATTCAGCGGTTCCTGAGGTTTCTTCTGATGTGCAGGAATGGGTGGAGACCTTGGTCTCCATGTCAGAGCTTTTGAATGCCTCCCTCCGCTCTCTATGGTATTGTCTCTTCCTGAATCGTGACTTCAGAGGAACAACACCCTGATTGGACCCTATCTGCTGTGCCACATTTTTCATCTTCTGGCAATCAGCTAACAGAGAAACCAGTGACCCCGGAGGACCCTGCAGTGTCGGACAAAATCCTGAGCGTGCTTGTCTCTGTGGTGGGGGGCAGCGAACCTGGATCTAAGGTAATTTCCCAAGTGGGCAGTAAAGATTCGTCCATCTGGAATAATATGGATTGTCAGCAAGTAACTGTGCAGAAAATGAAGCAACCAATGGAACCCTATTACTGTGTTTTGATTTTGGGGGATGAAAGGAGCATTAGCAGCAGGTATGCCTCCGCTGACCAGGAGGTTACACGCAAAGCATTGTCCGGGGTTGTTGCTAGTACAGAAGGATGGCCCAGCTGCAGCAGTTCCTAAATATGCCTGTAATACTTGAGTATGGTATTGAGTTACCTTATGTGCCAGAAAGTTTCTTTGATAGACTTGATTGGGATCATCAGGCCCTTTATGAGAGGGCTGTTTTAGAGCTTCTACAAATACCAAAGCTGTACCGGAACAGACTGCCTGACAATCCAGCATATAAGGATTGAAAAGATGTTATACTAAATATCTGAAGATGTACATAATTTACAAAATTCAAGTAAAGGTACACAAGCAAGCTGGACTGGTCTCCTATTTCTTCTGGAAGATAACAGTGTGACCAATATCTGGGGAGCAGAGACATTAACACCAGTTCTGGTCAGGGATCAGGCAGTGGCCTAGTAGAGGAAAAAGTTTTTAAGGTCTATGGCCAGTTTTAGACTAATAACACATCCTGCAACCCACCTCTCCCATCAATCAAGACTCAGAAAAATTAAATAAAGACACAAATATGCCCACATGGTGGACATGGCATAAGTTTATTTCCCACTGCAAGTTGCAAATTGACCATTGTGTATTGGCCAAAGAGTTTGACGTGACCCTAGACAATAATAATATAAAGGTTAGGTTTAAATATTACAAGGCAAAATTATTTAATAAGGGTGTGGCCCCCTTTGATAGTAAAGACGTAGACAGAGCACCCTGTCTGGTTTTCATAGGTAAGGTGTGAGATGCCAGCTTGGCTTAATGCCCAGAACTGGCTGAGGGTAAAAAATGGAATTGAATTAAAAAATGTGAAGATTTGCTATGTTATGAGAAACAAAAGGATCGCTTCTTACACAGAACTGTCAGCTACCTCTAGTAACAGCTCCAACACACATTGACCATAGGGCTGCTGTGAGCCCACCATTTTAATGAAAGGGGGCTGGGTCATACATTTTTTCTAATTATTGGCTTTTGTGACTCATCTGACAAAGGCTATGCACTGCATTATAGGCATTCTTTATTTCTTGCACATAACCTGTGGAGTTTTCATTCAGAAGTTCCCAATTTGAGAAGTCTGCAAATGCCAGGGATTGTGTATATTGTCAATATTTTTATATCTAAAGCTTTCATAAAAATAATACCTGATGATCCTACCATTAAGGTCCTTCTGTAGACAATTCCTGGATGACAACACTCTATTCCTGACTCCTAATTGTACTATTAAATTGTCCCCCTGTCACATGGGCTTCCCTCACTTGAGACTTCAAGTGGCCGTCCCAACAAGATGCTGTAAAATGCTGCAGGAGATCAGCAGCACTGAGATGTAGCAAGGGATGAAAAAGGGGAAAACAGAATTTTACATATAACAATAACAATTGTTTATGATGCACAGTGCACATAGCAAACTACTGTAAATGTCATTCAGTTAGGGTTTACATCGACTTTAACTGTTGGCTAGGCTAGAAACAATCCAGATGGACACAAGATCTTGTGCTACATTGTAAATGTAAGATACAAGAGTACAACAAGTAGCAGTCTGCTAACATTTGCCACGTTCCCAGGGTCTCAAAGTTTGGACAAGTTATTATTTCCCATGTTGTATTCATGTGCTATCATACAGATAGAAGAACATAGATAGAAGGAGGATGGAGGATAGGCCTTAAAATAGGGACAAATGGGAACCATGCTAATATTCACCAAGACATCTGTGATTACATGGATATACACTGTATATGTCTGCAGCTGCCAACGTTGTTGTAATTCTAGCTAGCTCCTTGCTAGGGAGGAGGTGATGAGTATGCTTCTCTGGAATTGTTGTTCCTGGAGATGATTTTGGTTTTTAAAGCTTAGCAGCTGTACAGTTTTGATTTCCTTTTTCCAAGTGCTAGATTCATTTATTATCTATAAATCCTCTTCAATCCTATCCATACTTCCACTTTGTGATAATGCGAGGTCACACATGTAACATGCGTTATTCTGTTATGGTGCACTCCAGCACACTAGGACAATGCAGGGTAGTGCATTGCATTACAAAAAAAAGGAAAAGGATCTTGTTTGATTCTTGGTATGTTAGGGTGAGTTGACAGCCCATTCATTTCAATTTCCAAGTGGTGTGAGCAGCACCAACATGTCAAGTCAGAACCGTTATTGTGCTCATCCTCCCTGCCAAAGATTGAACAGAGAATTGCGTCTGACAGGTGGTCACTGTCCATTGAAAACCAGCCTAAATA